GAGTCCCATTGGTTAGATAGAAAGATTAATCTAAATAATCTATACAGAAGCCTGTGGAACCCCATAAGATTGGGTTCCTAATCCATGAACTATTAGAACTCATTTACAAAACTTTTCTTAAACATTACATTAATATATTGTCTCATAGTATAGAATTAGAATTTATAATCCCTATTCCATGATGAGATATCTTTGAACTATAAGGTATCTTAATTAAAACTATCGATAGATAGGTTTTTTCCTCAAAAAGCATTTTATCAAAAAAATCCTATTTAAATACAAAAAATCCAATTTTTTTTATTTATTTCTTTTAAATAATTGATTTTTATCCACCCTGCCTGTGACCATACGAGAAAATAAAAGTTGGTGAATAGTCAGTGATTCCTTCCTTCCATATGAGAATTCTTATAACAACACTGAAGTGACTAAATCCTTTCCACAGAGAAATAATGATAAAAATTTTACAGATGAAGTACCTCTGACGCAGGACACTTGGAGCACTGAACAGACAATTAAATATACAATACATAAATATGTCATTAAAAACATAATGATAGAGTATTATAAAGTCAAACAAACTGGCATTATTAAAAGTGGGGAGTGCGGTGAGGAGCGTGGTGATGTTCAGCAGGGAGAATTGGGAGTGGTTGGGTCATTACAAAACCTAAACTTAATTTCCCCAATACTAATTTCTCCCTACTGTTACTCACACCTTCTTGTCAACTGTCTGTAATGGGCCACTCTCTTACCACTTCAAAAGTTATTTTTCCTCCCTTGGTATCCTGCTGCTAATTGATTTAACTCATTAGACTGACCTCACACTTGGTAAAGCAACCCCCCATCCTTTCATGTATTTATACCTGCTCCTGTGTTTTCACTCTGTGCATCCGATGAAGTGGGTTCTAGCCCACGAAAGCTTATACCCAAATAAATCTGTTAGTCTCTAAGGTGCCACAAGGACTCCTCATTGTGTCTGTTTAATGAATGCAATGAGTAAATGAGCAGTATGGTAATAATAATTAAATAACTGCATTGACTTATTTTGTTTAGGAGAACCCATCCCTCAGCATACAGGATTCTGAAGACTATCCACCTTCAAGATCACAATCATTTTCTATAGTTTCTGCCAATATATATCTGCCAATTATAGCCACATTATATCACCTGTAGCAAAAAGAAAAAAAGATCTCCATCATCTAGAAACAACCATAAGAACCAGAAGATTACAAAAAGAGGTAATTGATGGGAAAATTGCCTGGTTTGTTTACACAACAAACTCTCATTTCCGTAAGATTGAGAATCCACATTTCATTAACATGGTTCAGTCTTTAAGACCAAGATACAGTCCACACAACAGAGAAGATGTTGCAGGCAAACTGCTGGATAAAGTGTATGACAGAGAAATTGAGCAGTGTGCAAAAGGTCTAGAGGGTAAAATTGTTAACCTGAATCTTGATGGGTGGAGCAATGTCCACAATGATCCTGTTGTATGTACTTGTGTGACAACAGAAGAAGGGAATGTCTTCCTTACAGAAACAATTGATACATCAGGAAATGCACACTCAGCAGAATCCTTAGAAGAAGTAGCAGTAAAACCTATAACAAACTGTGAAAAAAAATTCAAATGTCTAGTACGCAGCTTGGTCACAGACAATGCTGCAAATGTATCCAATATGAGAAGAAGTTATTTAGAAGAGAGCGAAGAGAGTCCCCAAGCTAATAACATACGGTTGCAGTGCTCATTTGATGCACTTCCTAGTCAAAGACTTCAGTGTTCCACAAATAAAGGCTAATATTTTTGAAATTGCAAAGTACTTCCATAACAACCACTTTGAAGCAGCTGCTCTGAAAAAAGTGGGAGGAACCAAGCTAACTCTCCAAGAAGACATGCAATGGAACTCAGTAGTGGACCGTTTTGAGCACTATATCAAGAACTGGCCTAATCTGATGACAGTTTGTGAACAAGATCATGAAAAAATAGATGGCACTGTCACAGCCAAAGTTCTCAACATTGGGCTTAAGAGAAATGTTGAACATATGCTGAGTACCCTGAAGCCTATTTCTGTAGCCTTGAACAAAATGCAGGGAAATAGCTGTTTTATTGCTGAAGCTGTTGAAATTTGGAAGGAACTAAGTGAGATCTTAAAAAGAGAAATATGCAATGACAAAGTTAAATTACAAGCATTAAAAAAAAGAATGGGACAAGCATTATCTCCAGCTCATTTTGTCGCTAATATTCTCAATACTCGGTACCAAGGTCAAACCTTAACTGCTGAAGAAGATGAGCTGGCTGTGACATGGACATCCAGCAATCATCCCTCCATAATGCCAACTATAATAAACTTCAGAGCAAAAGGTGAACCATTCAAGAAATATATGTTTGCTGATGATGTTTTAAAGAAAGTCACACCAGTGAACTGGTGGAAGTCACTTAAGCACTTGGATTCAGAGACTGTTGAAGTGATAATGTCACTTTTAACAGCAATAGCTTCTTTTGTCCGTGTAGAAAGAGTATTTTCTTCCTTTGACTAATTCATTCCAAATTGAGAAATCATTTGGGAACTGAAAAAGCAGGAACGCTTGTTTTTCTTTTCCAGATTATGAACAAACAGGAAAATGAAGATGAAGACGACTGAGTTAGCTGCAGAAGCCAATATTTTAAGTTTCTCATGTTGACCTGGCTGACATACTGGATTTAATTTTGAGGGTTTTTTTAATATTTCATTTATCTATTTTAGTGAAGGGTTAAAATCCATTGCTGATGTAATAACCTGGTATATGGATTTGTGTACAGGCCCAAAGTCCAGAGTTTGGTCAAGAGGTCAGAGGCCTAGAAATAGATAAAAGAAAGCAGAATAACCAAAGATAACCTTGCTTTTGCTACGATATGCTTGATCAGCAAAACGCCAGATGTTGGGGGCAATAATTGTGTCTTATTCAAAGTTGCAAATAGAACAAAGAAGCCCTGTTTCTGTTGTGCTAGTTTCTTCTGTAGGGAGATGTTCTTCCCACATATCCAACCTTGAATTTATTAAAAGGTTGGAACAGGTCAATATAAGATATGGCCTCCTCCCATCTCCCTTTCCCAGGAACCAATGCCTGCCTTAAAAGACAAATAAGCAACTTGAAAGGCAATCTTTATTGCCATATACTTTCACTGTTTCTTTGCTTTTACCCCTAGATATGTATCTGTTGGACAATCAAAGGAGCTACTTCATTCCTATGGACCCCAAATTAAATCCAACATATATTCTATACTATGTGAAAGGGTCGGGCCAGATGGCTATAGGAGGGTAATAGAAGGCAGATATATTAGCCCCAGGTTAAGTAGATCCCTTTTCCCTGGGTAAGGTAACAGGGAAGGTTTCAGAACAATCAGGAACCTTCTGAAGACAATTAAGACAGGCTAATTAGAACACCTGCAGCCAATCAAGAAGCTGCTAGAATCAATTAAGGCAAGGTAATCAGGGCACCTGGGTTTTAAAAAGGAGCTCACTTCAGTTTGTGGTGTGCGTGTGAGGAGCTGAGAGCAAGAGGCACTAGGAGCTGAGAATGAGAACGCGGACTGCTGGAGGACTGAGGTGTACAAGCATTATCAGACACCAGGAGGAAGGTCCTATGGTGAGGATAAAGAAGGTGTTGGGAGGAGGCCATGGGGAAGTAGCCCAGGGAGTTGTAGCTGTCGCACAGTTGTTCCAGGAGGCACTCTAGACAGCTGCATTCCACAGGGCCCTGGGCTGGAACCCGGAGTAAAGGGCGGGCCCGGGTTCCCCCCAAATCCTCCCAATTCCTGGTCAGACACAGGAGGAGTAGACTTGGACTGTAAATTCAGAAAAACGGCCAAGCTGAGGGCTGCTGTGAAGCTCCAAGGCGAGCAAATCCGCCAATAAGCGCAAGACCCACCAAGGTAGAGCAGGAACTTTGTCACAACTAATACACTTATTAAAGTATTAATTAAATGCTAAATGTTAATTTGGTAACATTGAGACCATGGGCAGAGACATTATGTAACCTTTTGACCATTGGCTACTGTGCTATCATGTCTTGCAACTAGAGCTATCCGGGGGTGTGGGACTGCCTACCCTGTCACTTTCCCCGCTCATGGAAAATCCATATATTCCATTGTAATCAATTCACTGACAGTGTTTCTGAGCCTAATAAGTGAGGTGACACTCCGTCAGTGCTGTACGTAATAAACTCCTGTGCTTGACCTCTACACAGTGTGGATTTATGTCCTTCATTTAGTTAAAAACAATTTTAACAAAAACAAACCTGATTTTAAAAAACTTGAATGTTTAAATTCAAAAATTCATATGCTTGTTTTGTTAAAATATTATATGTTTGCTGTTGAAGAAAAAAATCCAGAATACATAATGTTGTTGTTTTAGTTAAATAAAACAATTTACATGTCTGTCTGGTGATGTTCTCCTCCCAATACAGCATGGCAAGAAAATCTTCCAAATATTAATGATTAACCTGTTGAATTGGAGATAGCTCAACTCCCAATGACTTCATAAATATCTGCTTCAATTACCTTTGGTAAATGAAATAACCAAACAATCATTCATTTTCTGATATAGCTGTAAAATTAATCTGAAAAGTTTTCAAAATAAATCACTGTTTAAAAATGTATAGTGTGTACCTTCTAAAACTGAAACCTACATCTATCTCTGAGTTGTGAAAAATATGTATTAAGGTTATAACCACCAACAAGAAAGCACTTTTATGTAGAAATCCATGATTAAATCGAGTCTTTCTGATGAGTGATTTAAATCAAATCCACCCTGCTCCAGATGCTCCTCTAATATAAATAATTATCAACCAACTATCTTAATGCTTTCCTTGTGATAGGCTACGTCATGCATGCACATATTATATTTAATGCTTTAAACATTTCAGTTCTGCATTGTCTTCATCAGGGAAAGCAGGGATGCTTCCAAGGCAACCTGTAAAGGGATATCAGCCTGGCAGCCAGGCATACGTCCAAGAAGGACACTCACCTCTCTCCCAATGTGCCACAACTCCTGCTCAGCGACAGGAAACCCAGTTTCTGAATGAATTAATGCCTTTATGTGTCTGACAGTCGCAGAAGGAGGCACCTCGAATGTCTTGCAGCCCAGGCAGTCATGGAGCACGGTCACCCTGGCCAACCTGCGGAACACAAGCAGAGGATCTCAGGCTGGGAAGTGACAGAAAAGAGCTGCGGCTGTCACCAGCTCACCATGCCCAGCTGGAGGAGGGCGGGAGACGGCCCAGGATGCCGCTAGGTTGACCACACAGCCAACCCACTATTATGAGGCCTGCCTCCATATTAGGGGCTTTGTCTTATACACACAACTATACCCCCCCCCCCCCCCCCCATAAAAGTGTCCTGGTTTTTCACACTTGCTATCTAGCCACCCTACATCCTCCACCTCTTCAGCCAGGCAGCATCAGCCTGGGCTTCCCCTGCAAGCGCTGAGCCGCAGGGAGGCACCGACAGGCCGGGGCCCTTGCAGGCAAAGACGCCGCTTCTCGGGAGAGAGGAGGAAGCTCTGAGCGGGAGCGGACGCGCTGGCCTTGGAGGAGCAGGCGGGGTGATGCGGGTGGCGAAGGCTCCGGGGATCCTGAGCGCTCCCTGCAGCTGAGGGGCTGCGCCAGCAGGGGCAACAGCCGCCACGCTCGGGCGGGGAGGAGTCGCCGAAGTGGAATCCGGCCGGAGGGCCCCGCTCGCGGAGCCGCCTCCCACTCCGGACCCCGTCCCCCAGACCCACCGCCCTGCCCCGCACTCACATCCCCCCGCAGCCGCGGTCACTCTGCCAGGAAGCGCCCGGGCGCGTCCGCAGCTCAGTGGCAGCTCGAACCCGCCGCGCTCGCGCCTAGCGGCCGCGGACACAAAGAACCGTTAGCGGCGGCACCCGCCGGGCCCTGTCCCCCACGCGGCGCCGCGGCTCCACACATGGCCGGGGGGCGGGACTGAGCACGGGCGGCCCCCAGCGGGGATGGGCCAACACAGAGATCTGTGCCGCGGAGGCGGCTGTCACCCCAACCACCGGCCGCTGTCAAGGGAACCAGGCTACCGGGGACAGGGAACTGCCCTGGCGTGAGACAAACGGCTCCTCTCCCCGGGCCGAAGAGACACGCACACTTCACACCACAAGATCCTCCCCCTTCCACACACCCACACACCACAGCAAACCCCTCCCCATCCCCACAGACTCACACACCCCCAACAGCAAAATCCTCATCATCATCTTCCGCACAGTCACACCCCCGCCACAGCAAAATCCTCCCCATCCCCACAGACTGTGACCCACACCACACAATTCTCTGCCATCCCCACAGACAGCAACACTCGCAGCAGCGTCTTCGCCCATTCCCACAGACTTTGAAACTCACACTCAACTCCCTGCATCCCCACAGACTACAACTCACAGCAAAATCCTCCCCCATCCCCACAGATTGTGACACACAGCGAAATCCCCTGCCCCCACAGATTGTGACACACAGAGCAAAATCCTCCCCATTCCTCACACCGACACAACACAGCAAAATGCCCCACTTGTCCCTACAGTCTGACACACACATGCAGCAAAACCCTCTTTATTCCTACAGACTTTATTGCCACATGTACGGCAAAATTCGCTACCCACCATTCCCAACAGACTGCAACCCATCCAGTAAAACCAACTCCTTCCCATCCCAACACACTGCAACACTGCAAACACAGACAGCAAAATTCCCCCAACCCACTCCATCCCAACACAACATGGTACAGGGCAAAATCCTCCTTATCCCCCCAGACTGTAATACGTGCTGCAAAAAGTTTTACCATTCCCAGAGTGAGAGAGCCTGCAACACTTTAAAATCCTCCTCCTCAAAAGAATCTACACTGTATACACAATCTGTACCTGTAGAAGCATAACTGATTATCAGTTCTAACCAAGATAAACTCAGTATATGAAGGGGGGAGGGATGGCAAAAGTTGCTTTACCTCATATCCTTGACCAGCCTCAAGCATATGTTAGACCAGCCTCAAGAGACTGTTCCAGCAATCAAGAAAAGCAAGAGTGCAATAATACTCTAGTTAGGACCCCTACAGTGAAAGGCTTATAAGTAAGGCTAAGATTTTTGTCATGGATATTTTTAGTAAAAGTCAGGGACAGGTCACAGGCAACAAAGAAAAATTCATGGAAGCCCATAACCTGCCCCTGACTTTTACTAAAAATATCCAAGATAAAATGGGAAGGGACTAGGCAGTTGCGGGGTGGCTGCAAGCTCTGGGGCCACCACCACCCATGAGGACTCAGAGCTCCAGGGTCCTCCTGCCCCCTCTCCAGCAGTGGGGAGTTGCGAGAATCCCCCTGCCACCACCGCAGTGGGGAGCTGCGGGAATCCCCTTGTTCCCCCATGGCAGCCGGGGGCTGCGGGGGTCCCACGGCCCGGCCACAGCAGAGGGAAGCTGCCAGGGTCCCCCTGCCCCGCGGCAGTGAACAGGGAGTTGCAGGGGTCCCCCAGCTACCGCAGCTGGTGGGGAGCTGCGGGGGTCCCCCTGCCGCCACAGCGGCCAAGAGCTGTGGGGTACCCCCCTGTCAGCAGCGGCTGGGAGCTTGGAGGCCCGCTGCCTCAGGCAGCAGGGGTACCTCACAGCTCCTTGCCGCTGCAGGAGACAGCGGGACCCTGCGGCTCCCAGCCACCAGGGCAGAAGTCACTGAGGTCTTTGGAAGTCATGAATTCCATGACTTCCGCGACTTCAGTGACAAAATTCGTAGCTTTATTTATAAGTGAATGGCAAAGAACTGCTACGCTGGCTCTACACCACCCAGTGAAGCGCCTTGGAAAAGAGAGAATCTTTGGTGGCCATATCCAGCAGATTTAGCCCCTTTACACTGCACTGATGTAGCTGCGCTGCTGTAGCATGTGTGGTGAAGACGTGGTATGCAGACAGGAGAGCACTCTCCTGTCGGTATAATTACTCCACCTCCGTGAGAGGCAAAAACTATGTCAGTGGGAGAGCATCTCCCGCCAACATAGCGAGGTGTGGACATGGCTTCACTCGATGTAATTTACATATGTGGAATATAATTTCCTGAGGTGGAATTTGTCAGGGACACATTAGTTAACAAAGAAACCTACTCATGTAAATTGCCATGGGATATGGACTGATAACAAGTGCTCAGAATCTCAAATTTAAGTCTTGTACAAAATCTGCAACAATTCTACTGCTTTGTAAGAATATTGGTGTCATCAGCTAAGTTGTCTTTATGCATTTTTTAAAATAAGAGCTGCAAAGCAACAAACAGGACAGACAAAATTGCTAGCTATGCATGGCCAATTTTATAATGCTTTCATTGACACAAGCTGATACTTATAGTGCAATATACATAAAATAAACTGTTTATAATAGATATACTTTCCAGTTGTAGATTTTTAGTATTGGAATGACAGTGTTATCTCGTGATTGGAGAGGGCACTGCAGGACTCCTAAATTCTGTTCCTCGCTCTGACACTGATATAGATCTTGAAAAAGTCACTTAACCTCCCTGTACCTCAGTTTATCCATCTGTAAAATGAAATGACACTGACTTATTTCACAGTGGTTTTGAGGTCTTATACACTTCTCGGCATGCCAGCTCCATGGTGTGGAGCACACATTCCCAAAATGAAGGACAATAAGGGACACTCACTTGTGCAACAAAAATCACAATGTGGGGCCTCATTTCCCAGCCTTTTGTCACTTCACTGACCCTGAATGTTTATGGACATTAACCTTCCAGTTTCTATTTCCATTCTCCAACGCCTCTCATTTACGCTCTCTCACTCCATAGTACCAAAACATTCACCTCTTCTCTTACGCCATTTTCCCTCAAATGTTCCCTTTTCTCCACCTCTTTCTATTTCCTTCGAACACTCATTAACCATCTTCTAGCCTCATTATTTGAGGCAGCCAAAGGCTACCAGACATCCTCTGTGGTCCCTGTCAACAGACCATGAGCCCTCACCCAGAAGAAAGATGTATAATAGGCAGCATCAGCCTGGAATTATCCTGGCTCTTGAAGGGCAAAAATACACACAGAAAAAGAGCTATGAAAAAACATAACAAGACCTAGAGAAATTAATGCATTTGCTTATGCAGAATACAATTGGTTAGTATTCTCAGGACAAAACTTGGATTTGAAGTTTGCTTCAGAAATGACAAGTCTTCATCCATGGATTGGTACAGTTCATCTGGTGTTAGGGAGATACAAATTGCTAATTCTTTTTGCTGATTCAATTATCTGTAACCAAGCTCCTTGTCTTTTTGCGTGTTGGCAATAATGATTGATTAACTCTTTTTCCCTGCATAATGACAGGTTTCAGAGTAGCAGCCATGTTAGTCTGTGTCCCGCAAAAAGAAAAGGAGGACTTGTGGCACCTTAGAGACTAACAAATTTATTTTGATGAAGTGAGCTGTAGCTTACGAAAGCTTATGCTCAAATAAATTTGTTAGTCTCTAAGGTGCCACAAGTCCTCCTTTTCTTTTTCTCTGAAATGTAATAATGGATAGACATCTTTAAATAGTGACTCATCCCTGAAACGTGACTGTATAAAAACTGTACCTTCTGACTCAGAAGTACTCCTGGTATGTACTCAATACTATCTTCTGATTTTAGTGACAAAATAATTTTTTACTGGTTTTTATTCCTGTTAGCACTGCAGAGACAACACAGTTTTGGAAGCATGAATGGAATTCTACTCCTTGTGCACCATCAACAAAATTGTTTACTAAATCATTGCACTGTGCAAACCCATTGAAGATAATGGGTCACACGAGTAAAATTTGGCTTGCAGAACCTTTATTACTGAAGATCATATATTATATGAGAAGGAAATAACCCATTTGACTCTCACAACCCAGGGTGAATTCTGCAGGAGTGGCATTTAGAAGAAACTGAGTGCAGTTGACTTGGAAATTATTGAGATGATAAAACATGAAAATCCCATAATGGGATTTTCACAGTCACTTTTCAAAGCAGAACAGCACTGTAATTTTCAAAATAAATATGTAGGAGAACATTTCCTTTAAGACTGAGTGGCTATGAAAAAGGAGTTCTGCTTGGCCAGTGGTATAGAAACTGGGAGACATTAAACACAATCAAGATATGTGGAAACAAAGTCATAGAGTATGAATG